ATCTAAAAAACTATATTTTTATCCAAATAAAGTAAATAATTTATATCATAAACAATTTATCTATACTATATATTATGAAACATTTGTAAAAACTCTTAAAAACAATATTTTATACATGAAGTACTGTATATTGATGCATTTTACTTAAAATTCAATATTACAAGTAAATTGTGCATAAGTACAACTTATTAAAGCTATTTTTCAATTCGTGTAACTAACTGCAGATAAATATAATCAAATACATGATAAACATCTCATGTTAAATATAAAAAAATAAAATATAATTAAAATTATCATTGAATTTTAACAGAATACTTAATTATCATCCTTATAAAAATTATATTATTAGATAAAAATAAATTACTTTAGTATTAAATCTAAATTAAATTATAATAAAAAATTGAACTAAAGAAATTATATAAAAAATGAGAACTTTTAAATAGTTAATTTAATACTAATATCGATAGATTTTCTTTTTCAAATTTATATTTCGTTCAAAATAAAAATATCATCGTTTTCTAAAACCACGTAAAACCGTATTATATCGATAGAGAAAATGAATAAAATAAAACATTAAAATCGAGATATATATTTCATGGGTATCGTTCTAGTATTATGTAATATTTTTATTAAAATAAACTAAATACTGTTCTAAAAGTTATTCAATTTTGTAATAACGTTAAAACTAATCAAATAATGATAACTTTTTTGATATGCATACCATTTTGAAGATGTCGATAAGATTTATTTATTGAGATAATTTATAAACAGTAAAAAATAAATTTTAATCATATATTTATAAAAATATGACAAAAGAACAAAATGAAAGATAAAAATAAAATTTATAAAAAGGTACCCAATTTTGATATGAAAATTGAAGATGAAAGGATGTAAATGAAAATTGATATCATACTACGAGACCCAATTTTTCAAAGGGGTATAAAAAGGGCCGGCTTTTTACAAAACAACATGTTGCAAGAATACCTTTTTTTTTTTATTAATCTTTCCTAAAACAATCTTTCTTCATTTTTCAATGATAACATGCATACATTTCTTGGTATCCCGAACTCTTCTCCAACTTGGTTTCCAATGGCGGAGAGAGGGAGAGAGAGAGAGTGGCCCTGATTATATCCACACATACTAAAAAAAATACAACACCACACACACGTCAATGAAATAGAAATTTGTTTTATTTTCTTTCATCTCTCTCTATATATATATATATTTGATTGCACATAACCCGTTTGACAAAATTCCCCAAAGAGAGCGAAAGGACCAAGAGGGGAGAAGACAAAGGGGGAAAGCCAACGTATTGTCTTCTCCTTTCCTTTTTGTGGGTCTGAGCTGTGGAGGGAAATTTTGTGTATTTGATTCGTTGATGAGGAAGAATCCGGTGTGCTGCTAAGAGATCAAAAGCCATCTTTTTCTCCCTCATCACCAGTCTCCATCTCCAGCCTTTTTTTCTTCATTCAACGACAAAAGAATCCCCATAATATTCTACTGTTTCTTGGGTATATAGAAAAATATTTTCTACATTTATCCTTTTTATGCTTTAATTGTGGGTTACACTTGATTTTGATACAATCTTGACCACCCTGATTTGTATTCATTCCACATTCCATCATAATTTGTTCATATCTACATCTTGTTGGGTCTTGGTTTGAAACGGGAAGAACTTTTTAGAGATTTCTTGGATGCGCTAATCCTCTTTGGGAATCTAATCTAATCTAATCCACATTCCCTTTGATTTTTATGTGGTAACATCCATAATAGATCTCGATTGGACAATTAAAGTGGTAATTCATGAGCCTGTCATTTTCTGCAGTGTGTGTTTTATAGGCTCTTTGTTTCTCCATTGAAGCATTTTGCAAAGGATAAAAGGATAGAACTTTGTTCTGGTTTAACATTTTTTTGTTGAAGACGAAGCCCACTCCGGGTTTTGGTGGGCTTCGTCTAAACTTTAGAGAAAAAGAAGAAAACCCATAAATTTGGAAAGGAGGGGATTTTTGAAAGATCTTCTTTCTTCGTATAAAAGTTGGATCTTTTGAAGAACAGAAACGCGTGGGGTACTCTCCGTTGGGCCAATTTTTAGCTTTTAAAAATGCTGCTCTATTTTGTTACTTGCATCTCCTTCATCTTCTTCTATAGGTATTCTCTTCCCATCAAATCACTTCCACCATGGGCTCGTGAGATGAGGCTGCGATCTTTCTATTTTTTTGAAGATTTATCAATCCTCTTCCCCTTTGCTAAATCTTTGAACAATGCCCTCTTTCTAAACTCCAATTCAAAGACTAAGGAAAAGAGTATTAGCAAGTCGATCACAGATACTACAAAGCACATTGGAACCACCACAACAACAGGGTCACCTCTGTTGGATTTGCCTGAATTGGCAATAGAATCCATTCTTGAGAAGCTTGAGCCTGCTGACCTTAGTAGGATGGCTTGTGTTTCTACTTATTTAAGGGACATTTGTTTGAGTGATTACCTATGGAAACGCCACATGAAGCAGAAATGGGGTACAATTTTTGGTTCTGCTGCCCAGAGGGAGTGGCAGATGCATATTGCATCCCAAAAAGAATCAAGGAGCTGCTTTCTTGATGGTGGAAAAAGAAGAGGCTTTTTGATGGGTTATTTGTCTAAACTTTGGCCTGTTATGATGTTTAGAGCCGGCTTTAATAGTTATGGTAGTAGTGATGAAAGAAAGCAGATGAAGATATCTTCTCCGCCACCCGGTGATTGTTCCATAGTCTCGTGCTACCGGGCCCTTGAGACCGGAAACTTCTGGTTTCCTGCTCAGGTCTTCAATCGTGAGGTATCCTCGTCCTTTAGTTTATAACCAACTCCTTTATAGCCGTTGGATAGGTCAATCAACGATCAACCTTGGCTCACCATTACCTATGATACATTGGACCACAACCCTTTTTCCAGAGCATAGCGATTGATTGGCCCATCGAACTCAAGTTATAAAGTCGGGGTCTTTCACACAACAATAAAATTAAAATCGAGTTTATTGGATGCCAAAAATGTATAAATATTCTTATAATCTACTCTATACGGCTTAAATTTATTGGACGAAACCTTTCTTTGGTTTATACAAAGGTGTTGTAATAAGTTTATAAAACACATTGGGTGTCTTAACAAACTTTTTATGACACTTTTGAAACAAAGTGTTCTATTATTAGCCGTTTTACACGACAATTTTAAGAAGTGTTCTATTAACACTTCTTTTATAGGACATTTGTTTTATAAGACACATTTTCAAACAGTCCGATAAAAAAACTAATATGACATTGTTTCAAAAGTGTCCTAAATTTTTTTTAAGAAGCCCAAAAACATTATATAAACTTATTACAACATCCCAAATAGGATATGTAATTGTTTGGTCCTATAAACTTGAATCATATAAAGTATTCTATTAGGACAATCATACATTTTCTATGCTTTACGAACCCGATTTTGTTGTAGTGAAGAAATGAAACCTCTAGTCTTTGGGTTAAAGGTTAGATCGCATACATCTTACCCTACCCTGCAAACCTTACCTCCATCTAGGATATAAAGGAACTCCAATATCAATGACCATTTATTCAATGTTGATTATATGGTCAATTTCTTGGTTTTACAGAACGGGCATGTTGGGTTCGTCATGTCATGCTATGATGCTAAGCTCTGCTATGATTCTCGTACAGATACTTTTGAGGCTAGGTAGAATTCCATAATGATCTCAAAATGTTTGTTTAAATATTTGTGTAAAGAAAGTAGTAACATTTGATGGTTTTATAGATATCCACCACATGGAGCAAGGGCAGTTGCGAATGAGAGCGAAGTAACATGGGATAGGATAAGGGCACCCCCTGTTGATGCATCACCTCATGATCTTCATATGTCGGACTGTTTGAATGATTTGCGTCCCAAAGATCACATCGAGATTCAATGGAGAAGGAACAAACAGTTCCCGTATGGTATGTATACATGTCATTCATTCTACTCATACTTTTTGACATGTCATTCATTCTACTCATATTTTTTGACATGAAATTATATCTGCTTTCAGGTTTTTTCTTATCTTTATGTTCATGATTAGATCCGTTTACTTTTCTCCTTAAATTGCCTATATGGGACTTGCAGAATTCGATTCTTGATGCCTTGTTATTCAGTTTTCAATTGGAATATGATGAATAATTTTATCCTATTTTTCTGGAAAAGATTCCTCTTATTAATGATCATTTTATTTCATTCTTTATTCTATACCATATTTAGCGTGTTAAATTTTGGCTTTTAAATAGGGGCCCACTTTTACTTGGGTTTCGGGCCAGATTTATATTGCCCAAACCCACTTCAATAGAGACCTTCCTAATTACTCTTACTTTTAAAATCAAAAGCTCCTATTTAATTTTAGAATTTGTCGATCAAAAACAAAAATTGACTGTTTAATATTTTTCTCATTTGTTATTCTAAACATTTTTGTTATTTTAGTTTTGAAGATTTTCATTATGATATGAATTTTATATTTTATTTTACTTATTACTCGTTATAATTTTAGTAATCAGCGTTCAAGAAAATTAGGATGATCCTGTTTATTCTATGACCCACATTCATATCATAGGTTTTCTCTACCATACAAATAGGATCTGGTGTCAAGAATGACAATCATGTTCTTCTACAATCTGAAGCATCCTTTAATTCAAACTCGAAATATCGAAAAAAGAAGAAAAATGTTACTTTGAATGAACCAAAATCTTTAATTTATGATCTTGCAGGTTGGTGGTATGGGGTTGTAGGGCATTTACAGTCATGTGGTGGTACCGACACTTCCTGCAATTGCCACAAAAGCAGTGAGTCCATCTTACATTTGATTGGAACATACTGGGTTTGTTTTGGTTTGATATTGATCATGACATAACAGATACGGTGGTATTAGAGTTTAACCAATATGCATTTGGTTCACGATGGAGACATACGATGATCAACAGGAAGGACCATAGTGAAGAAGGAAACGAAGCGGACGGGTTCTACGGAGGAATCAGAAAACTATATAACAAGGATGAGATCTCTTTGTGGCAACAATTTTGGCCAACTGGAATCTTGGAATAACTAAGCAAACCATAATTTGTTTTTTCATAAAATCTGATAGCAAGCAAATAGATGATTAGGTTATGTGTCACATATTATATTTGAATTTTTGTAGGACTATATTTGCTAGTTGGGGTATAATTACCACAAACGTGATATGGAAAGCTCCCATTGCACCTGCAAATGTAATGTGATGGATATGTACAACTTCATCTGGACTCTGCTTTTGTCTAATCAACTTTATGAACCAATTTTCTTTCCCCATTAGATTAACGTGTATTGGTATGATTTCTTTTTTCGTGGAAATTTATATTTTTAATCTAATGATAATTTTTTTATATATATTAACCTGGATATCCAACCCGCTATGCGAGCCGACTAATTCCAAGACGATCACATGTTTTGCAAATAGCCCGGAGTCACCACATTTGAACCTCCGTGGCCACAGGGGGATTTTTATTTCTCCTTGGATTTGAACCTGAGACGTCCTGATACTTTTGACCTTTGGAGCCAAGTTCAAACCAATTAGGCACCACCATTGTGGTTAATTTTATTTGTTTTTGTATCTGTGTTGATAGACTACCCGTATATTTTATAAGTATTGATGATTTGGGATGTCAAATTGTCAATTTATATTGTAATTTTTAATTACGTGAAAAAGAAACTAAAAAATCAGTATATGGACTACTTTACTGTGTTAGTATGGTTTATGCATTTTAATGCATGTATCAGATCGTCTTATGGAGTTTAAATTAAGTCATACGTATCTAATAATAAGTAAATTTGAATTTTAAAATATTTTAAAACATGAGGTAAATGGTTTGTAATATAACTAGAAGGGTACCTTTGCAATGCAAAACAATGCATCTCAGTTTCATCTCTCTCGATTCAATTCTATGAATTATGTGGTTTTGAGAGAGCTAAAGAGACTTATGTTGTTTATTAGATATATGGAGTATTTTGTTGTCTTAGGGGTTGTTTACCTAAATGCTTAACCGGGTAAGCGCTAACCGTTAGGAGTCAACATTATAATTTATTTTACCGGGTAAGATTGTAGTACATCAAAATGGTATCGTATGCAACAATTTACCCGGTAGGCACTTACCTGCGTAAGAGTCGTCACCCTCACTTACCGAGTAAGACTCTTCATCTTTATCATTGTTCTTATCGGTTAAAATTTTTGACCTTGTCATGTTCATCCGGTAAGGAAAGTTACCCGGTAAGCACCTTCCGGATAAACGTTTAGTAAACGGCCGCTTAGCAAGGTTCAACATTTATTTTGTATAGGAACATGTTTATCATTTTGTTACGTCTTAGTTTTATAAAGTTCAAATGTATTACTAAGTTTTACGTATGTAATAATAAGCTGTAAATGCTAAATAATATAGTAACAATATTGTATGAATATAGTCACATATGAATATAGTCGTGATTGAAATATTCAAAGCCGAGTTAAAAAACTAATATATATGTATAAATAGACTTGGGATCATGTGAGACCAGCCTGTTTTCGTGAGACCCGTGAGACCAACATTTTACACTTGAAACTTCACAGCAAAATGCTGTGAAGGTGACTTTTTAAAACCTTCACAGTGTTTTTGCTGTGAAGGTTCGACTTTTTTTAAACCTTCACAATGTTTTTGCTGTGAAGGTTACGTGTAAAAATGTGGTCTCACGGGTCTCACGAAAACAGGCTGGTCTCACGTGAACCCAACCCTATATATATATATATATATATATATATATATATATATATATATATAAAGAGAGAGAGAGGGGGAGGGAGTGTTAAACTTAGTTTCAATCAGATAACAATGAATTAAACAATAAGAACAATAATTTAGAGATCAAATCATCATGTATATTGATAAACTCTCTTAATACATGTTTCTCTCTCTATAATCTCTCTCTCTAAGCTAAATTCTCAATATACGCAATTTGCGTTAGGGCCCTGCTGGATATGTAACTGCTCAAGATATTATCTTACCACCTTATCTATTTCTTACAATGACTTTTACAAAACTATTTATATGATTGACTAAACATACAAATCAAACTACAAATTAAACTACAATTAAGCACAATGTTGACTGTTGTTGACTTTTAGCTTTCACCTCTTCAATCATTAAGCTCGGTGATCTCATATACAATAATATCTGACGTAACAATCTCCACCTTTGTATTCGAGATCACACTCTTAAAAACAAATCCCTTTGTCTTCACTTCAAAAGATCTTTGAGATAAACAATCTCCCCAATGAAGACAATCAAACTTTATTATTGTTTGAAAAGACGAATCTAGAAAATAACAATCTCCCTTTTTTAACAAAGATATTCTTCAGATCAAAATCTTCACTTTGAAACAATTTTCAAAATCTTTAGACGCTTTAGAATAGTTTTCAATCTTCAACAGTCAACTAATCTTCAATAAATCCTTTTCAGACAACAGATAAGCTTTAGACATTAAGCCTCAGGCTTTGATACTACGTGTACTAAGCTCATTAACATAATATCATGAAAGAATTCAATTTTGTCAACAACTTTCTTCAAACAACTCTGATTCAATCTTCCTTTCACAAATAAGTCAATAAATCTCAATAATTGAACACCAATCTCTTCATCACATTATCTACAATCTTTAAGTCCAAAGGCTTTTCAACATTAGACTCAAAAGATTTTGAAACAAACCTTCTCATTCATGAACTATTCAACAATATGCTATCTTTAATGTTCGGTCTAGATTAACCCCAAGATATTAAAAGTTTTATAAAGTCAAGTATTGTATTGTAATATTCATTGTTTTGTAATTGGGCTTTGGGCTTTGATTTACACTGTATTGGCACCTATAAACAGGTGTCTTGGGTTTTAGAATTTATTATGAGAATCAATTGTAATCTTTGAAGTTGCTTTTTAGTTTTCAATAATAATTAGGCCGACCTGTTTGCTTCCATACACTCTGTTCTTCATTGCCAAAATCCTCAAAAAGTGTTAATCAATCTTGATTTTCTGTTGATATGGGATCTACACATGGTATAAGTTCAGAATCGAATCATCTTATTTGATACGATCATTCAAGACAACAATTTCAAGTTTGAATATGTTTTTCTTATGGAACAATACTCGTATAATGAATAGTAACCAATTCGATCCAAATTTTGGCGATTTGATGCTAATCTGATTGATCTTTGATGATAAATTGATTTTAATACCATTGTCGATCTGTTTGGAGTCAACTGAAGTTCTAATTTTGGATTAATTTGGCTGAATTGCAAATATTTGATGAGTTTTTTATGTTCGACTTTCGACCCAGTTTTTTTTGTCAATTCATGGTGTTTTTGGATGTTTTGATCCAATTTGAGCTTAAAGATTTACCTATTTGTGTTTCTGAACATGAATTGATCATCAATTTGGCCTTAATTTGAAGAAAATTTAGTTTCTGATGATTTTTGGTCGAACAATTTGGTTTGTATTGCTACATCCATGAATATCACTCGATGAAGATTACCTTTGAGCGATATTCATCAAGAACATCGCCCATTGAAGACTTGAAGGCTGTTTTGAGCGATATTTGGTAAGATATCGCCTATTAAAGATGTTAGTGATACTTGGCTATTTTGTTACTGCTTTGAACGATTTTTTAAGACTTAGGCAATATTTGATTAATTGAGCGATATTTGAGGATACCGCTCAAGAAGTGAGCAATATTTGTGTAAAATGACTAAGGCATGAACTTGAGTATATTGCCTAAGTGCTAAGCGATATTCGTGTGATCCTTGAAGTTTAAAGATCGCCAAGTGTCAAGTGATATCCTGGTTGAGCGATATCCTTGATGAGCAATATTCTTGTTAAGCGGTATTATATGGTAAGCGATATTCTCATATCAAGCGGTGTTTGCCTATGTCACTTTAGCATCAAGCGGTTTAAAGTTTTGAGCGATATCTCACATCATGTGATATTTGAGTATATAGCTCAAGCTTCAAGCGATGTTTGTTAATGCAACCAGTGTTTTGAAATTTTGAGTATATCGCCCAAGGCATAGGCGATATACACTGTTCATTGAGGAATCCACTAAGGCGTGGGCAATATCATTCCCATCTATAGTTTATCGCGCACCTCTACGAGTTGCTATTGTTCATGACCTCATTGTCCATATTTTGGTCTATGCCCAAGATAGCCCTGTTCGATATTGTATGGTGTTCTTTGTATGATATTTTCCCTACAAAAAGCATCACCAGCATTTTGTCGATAATTGACTTTTTAAAGTCAAAATTTGACTTTTTGGTCAAAATTTTCAAGTTTGTATAGATAAAGAACCGAATTTGAAAAGTTTTCAGAACTGGGTGATTGGATTCAGTATTTGATTGGACTAGTCAGAAGGTTGAGTATTTGCAATCATTACTCTGAAGTTTCCGCAAGAGGCAAGACCGTTGAGTACTTTCAATCACTGTTTAGACCTGATCAATCAGAATTTTGAATGTTTTCGATCATTGTTATGGAGTTACTAGACTTTTGAGTGTTCTTAATCATTGATCTAACCTGATCAATTAGAAATTTGAGTGATTACAATCATTGTTCTGGAGGTATGGTTGTGATTTAGAGTTTTGAGTGCCGATAATCATTCGTCTGATTAAGAATTTTGAATCCCGGTTTTGGTTATTCGTTCTTCTGAAAGTATGAAGGAAATCGGCTTATCTTTCTTGGTTGAAAACTGTTGATAAAGAAGCCATGTTCTTAATGACGCATCTCTCTGAATTTCATTGTTAAAAGGTGTTTGCTTTGATTACTCAAGCTGATATTAAAACCCCACTTTGTGAGATTATCAGAACAAGTTCTTAAGCTAAAAGCTTACTCATCTCATGATTCATAGAAAGATTCTTTGTTATTAGACTGATTCTTCAATATGGAATGTCACGTAACTCGCACATTATCTATCCTGTTGTCAGATGAATCAATATGCTTATGGGCTGATTGAGATTCTGAGGTTCATGGTTGTGTTGAGTTGTCTACAAATTAAAGCTTCCTTTTGGTGTAATAAGTGGTGTTGAAGGCACATTGAATCTTATTTTAAAGTTGAAACTGAAGAATAAGAGCTTTATTCAAGGGGGAGCTTGAAATGTTCTTCAAAGATGAGCAAAACTACATCCACATATCTCCTTCTCTGACCATTGCTGACAAGCCAAAGTCAACCGCGGTTGATAAAGCTTCAGCAATCTGCTTTAACTAGCAACGCAAATGA